GGGAGATTCTATAGGATATCTAGCCAGTACTCCACAGGGCTGCCAAGGTCAAAACCAAGAAAAGACTGTCACAGAAAAAAAAAAAAAATCTGTCACAGACCAGAGGATACTGGTGACACATAATGACTAAATGCAATGTAGTATCCTGGATTGAATCCTGGAAGAGAAAGAGAACATTAATTAACAGAAAAATTGGTTAAATCTAGATAAAATCCAGAATTTAATAGTAATGTGTTGATGTTTTGTTTCTTAGTTTTGACAAATGTACCATGGTAATGTAAGATGTTGTCAATGGGGAAAGCAGAGTAAGAGGTACATAAGAACTCTGTGCTAGTTCACAACATTTTTGTAAATCTAAAATTATCCCAAAATAAAAACTCTATATTTTTTAAATGTTATTATCTCATTTCCTTATGATTTTAATTATAAAACTGAAAGTGTCTTCACCCCACAGTAGTATTTCTTCCCTTACCCTGCCTTTTTACACCCCCACCCACATACACACACACACACGCCGCGCACACACACAAGAATTTCAACATTGCAAAATACAGCAAAATAAAAATCAATTAAAGTAGATAAAGAAAATAAAAGTAAGAAAGTAAGATGGATGGAGGAGTAAAGTTTGTACATAAGATGTAAGCCATTAAGCCCTGCTTTTTAGAGGTAGGCCAAAATTTTAAATTTAAGTATTGTGTAGTCGACAAACAAAACAAAATATGATTAGTTGGAAAAATGTATAAACTTAAGATAAAAATTAATTATTTACTCGGTAGTGATGTAACTATTCATGGTGCTAAGGCCAAAGGGAACTTTATTCCTGTAGGATCTCAGACACTATGTGATAGAGCAATGTCCTCAACAACAACCTAGCCAACAACTAGTCACAAGGTTTACAAGGTTTGATCTCACAAAGGCCATAACTTCCTGACACATGAAGAGAAGCTAACTTGGCTGATAAAGAAATCAATGGTATTAAAACTGAGCAATTTCTTACAAAAGGATCAGATTCTGTAAGGGAAGGAAAAAAAGATGCAGAAAGTAAAAAGGGGTGCATCTTCTTCCTGCTGTGACCCTGTACCTCAACTTTTACTGGCCATTATAAAAACATACAGTACAGAGCCGGGCTCGGTGGCTCAGCCTGTAATCCTGCGCCTTGGGAGGCCTAGGTGAGTGGATTGCCTGAGCCCGCAGGTTTGAGACCCGCCTGGGCAACTTGGCGAGACCTTATCTCTACAATAAATCAAAAAATAGCCGGGCGTGGTAGCGCGCGCCTGTAGTTCCAGCTACTTGGAAGGCCGAGGCGGAAGGATCGCCAGCACCCAGCAGGCGAGGCTGCGGTGGCTGGGAGCGGCCACTGCACTCTAGTCTGGGCGAGGGAGTGAAACTCCAACTCAAAAAACAAAAAAACATACAGTGCAAAAGATTAGAACACTTTACCAAAGAAGAAACACAGATGCAAAGATACTCAGTATCATTAGTCAACAGGGAAATGCAAATCAAAACCACAGTGAGACACTACTGCACAGCTATCAGAATGGCTAATATTAAAAATACTGACCACACCTAGTGCTGGTGAGGACATGAACAAATTGGAAATCTCAGTTTCTGCTGTATGATAGTACTTGCTATAAAATGTTACAACCATTTCATAAAATAATTTGGCAGTTTCTTTAAAACTATCATATAACCTAGCCATTCCACTCCTAGATATTTACCCAAGAGAAATGAAAACATATGTCCATGCAAAGACTTATACATGAATGTTCTTAGCAGGGTTTCACTTTTTGTTTGAGTTTTTTTTGTTTTTGTTTTTGTAATAGCCAAATTGTGGTAGAGGTATAGAATAGACTACTACTCAGCAATAACAAGAAATTGCTATTGACACATACAACAACATAGATAAATTTCAAAACAATCATGCAGTGCGAAAAAAGTCATACAAAAAAAGGATGCACACTCCATTAGCCCATTTATATGGCACTCTAGAAAATGCAAACTAGCCGGGCTTGGTGCCTCAGCCTGTAATCCCGCGACTTTAGGAGGCTGAGGTGAGTGGATTGCCTGAGCCCGCAGGTTCGAGACCCGCCTGGGCAGCGAGACCTCATCTCTACAATAAATCAAAAAACTG